GAGGAGGGAGAAGGTGGTCGCAAGAACTCTTCCAACTTCAAAAAAGCCAAGAGAGTCAAAACTGAGGATGAAAAAGAGAAAGACCCAGAAGAGAAGAAAGGTGGGTATGGGTTAGGCAAAGATTTGGGTCTTGAGCCCCAGTACTGGAGGATGATGAATCTATGTAGGGCACTGGGAGGAGGGAGCTGACTTGGGCCCTGCCAGCTCCTGTGGGGATCTTCCTCAGCTCCTTGGCCTTTCAGTGGCTCCCAGAAGTGGCAAGGCTTACAAAGGAATGAAACTCAATTCATCATCTCCACCAGATTATCGAGCCCTGCCAGGCTCCAAAGCCAGGGACATGCCTGGGCTCCCTGTGGTCAGGAGTGTGGCCCTCACATACCACCCAAGCCCTTTTCCTGGCATTTCACCCCAGTTTCCCAGGGGGCTGCCTCCTCCCACCAGGTTCAGGCTCTAGCAGGTTGGGAAACCGGTCAGACCTGTTTGTTCTCAACAGGGCTCACTGGGTAGACCTGGGATGGGCTTTTTTTTTTATGTCCAGTGAGCTGTAGTGTGGGGAAGGGGTTTTTTGGTAAGGGAAGATCCCATGGGTCTTTCCAGAGGGTCTGTCCTTGGCCATCCCTGCACTTTTATGTTTCAGAAGTCACAGAAGAGGAGAAAACCAAGGAGGACAAGCAAGAAGCCAAAGGGGTTAAAGAGGAGGTCAAATTGGCCTGAGCAGTCCTCTCCAGTTCTGGCTTCTTGCAAAGCGCCCCACCTTTCTCCTGTAACCCCTCAGATTTTATATTTTCTATTTCTGTGTATTTATATAAAAATATATTAAATATAAATATTCCCAGGGACTAGACAGGAACCAGGGCCATGAGCCCAGGGCACACGTGCTGGGCACGCTCTTATAATAGCTGCCCTGTCATCCTTCCCCAATTCTTAATTTTGAACCATAAAGGGTGCCAGTTCTGGGTGGAAGGGATTCTATTCTCTTAAACATCCATAGAACAAAATTCCGAAATGCCAAATTCCTGCCTAGTGGCTTTGGAAAGATGCCCATATTGAGCATTCTAGGAATGGCTGGGTCTTCAGGAACCCCCTGTTCTTTACAGGCGCCTTAAGGTAACAGCAGCTACATTTAGATTGGTTCTGTTATACCTTCCCACTGGCCCCAAGTGAGTTAAGAAACTCACACTATCTGACCTCTGACCCCTCTCACTCCTCCATTTTGCAGGTGGGAATTGGTAGTTTCCTTTTTGAGATGCTATTTTTGGGGACTTTGTGTGTGTGTATGTGTGTGAGAGAATCTTTGTAATAAAATGGTACATTTCTATACCCTCCTGAGCTCATCTAGCAGTATCCCTGGGTTAATTTTTATTCCACTTCCCTGCCTTTCTGGGGTCCCTGAAGATCTGGGCAACGCCCCAACAATAAAAGAACCCTACAAACTTACCTGTCCTTCATCCCTCCCCTCAAGGTTTGAGGTGAACCAATCCTTTTTAAATTTTATTTTTTAGAGAGAGGAAGGGGGAGAAAGAGAAAGATTGATCGGTTTCCCCTGGCATGAACCCCAACTGGGGAGTGAAAGTGGCTGCCTCAACCAATGATGGGCATGGAAGTCGCACAGACTGTGACACTGAAGATGTTGTAAAAAAGGTGCCTACTTGACTAGAATAAACCACTGTAAACACTATATCCATAAAGCAATTGTCTTGAAATACTATTCTGTTAAAATTCCAGGTTCATCTTTTTTACACATAATATTGGATAATTGTATTAGATAGAAATTATATATATAGCATTTTCATTTTGAATTTATACCCGATTTAAACTTTAAGAAGCTATTTGACTTATCGTGTGGCATCTTACAAAACATGGTTTTTAAGACTGATTAATTCCAAAATTAAAAACTGAGGTTCTATTTATAGGGTTCCTATAGCATGACTAAGGTGTATTTTGTTGTTTTGTTTTTCAAATGAATCCATTGTTTGCTCAGTAATATAATTATCTATACTGAAAGCCTATCTATATCTAGGCTTTGGCAATTTGCTGGAATTTTTCATATTTAATGTTTTTGCAAAGCATGATCTTGTTTCTAAAATCAACTTTCTTTTCTTATATATCTAAAGGAAATTCTTAACAAAGAACCGTGTGAAAGATCACACTTTTTAAGTGAAAATATTTTGAGGAGTTAAAAAAAAGTGACCATACAAATATGAGGTGTCATATAAATATCCATTTATGAAAATGGTTGGGAAATAAGAAAATTCAGTTAAAAATATTTTCTCTCTAAAAGTTACCATATAAACCACACATTGCTTATCTATCGTTGTCAAGCAATTATATAAAAAAGACCCAAGCACTAAACATATTGTACAGTTCAATTTTTTTTTCATGTTTTGAGAAGTAGTTCAGTATCTTATCATGCCTCAGTATCACTATTGTGCCCTTTCATCATCACTGAATATAGTATGAGGATGAAAATGCACTAATTATTTGAGCTTTGAGGTTGACTCTCTCTCAGATAGAGGGGGCTGGACAGGGCTGTTATTTTTATCACGCTCCTCACCAGGCTTTGATGCGCTGCCTAGATCCCACTGTGGTATATTTAGCACCAGCTCTTCCTGCAGCAGCCTAGGCCACATGGAATCGCGCTTTCACACCCGCTCACTTCTGCTGAAAATATAATCTAAACATGGTTTCTGAAAGACTAATTTCTATGCATAGCAATAAGGGGGGAACATTTTTTTAATTTACCAAATGAAGTTTAAGTCTTGTCAAAAGCCATCTGACTTGCTAAGTACACACACACACACACACACACTCAATATTTCTGAAATAAATTTTTTTAAAAAGTATCCATTGAAAAAGAGAAAAAACCATTAAGAGAATAGATGAGCCGCATGTATTTTAAATGTCCCTCTCCAGATCACAGGTATGTGTATGTTTGGTTTGCAACAACAGTAGCCCCGTAAATGTAACCAGACACATATTTCACTCCGATGTTGCTATGGAACCCTTTCCTAACTGAAAATTAAATTTCTCCATCTGTTTGCCTGACTTTGTATCACTGCGGTGCTGAGGGCCAGCTGACCTAACAAACATGCTGCTGAACAGATTCCTCAAACCAGAAACAAAACAAACACGAAGCAAAGCAAATACCATAAGAAACCATATGATTCTGAAAGATTCACTCTCCAAAAGTGTTGATAAAGCTGGTGGAACTTTAGGGATACACTCTCACACAGGTAACCTAGGATACAAACCTCTCAACAGTACATTGAAGATGACCTGTTTAGGACAGTACAAAATTGTAATTGATTCAATAAATCTACTGAATTGTCCTGTGATCAACTAAAAGGGGGGCACTTAACAGACAATTTGGTCCTGATTTGCATTGTACTTTAAGTATTTTTTATTGTTGACAGTAGTACAGATACCTCCCATTTTCTCCCCCTTTACCCACCTCCTCCCAGGCCCTACTCACCCCCCACCCCCCAGGTCTTCACTACCCTGTTGCCCGTGTCTATGGGTTATACATATATGTTATTTGGTTTATAATTCTTCTTGTCCCCCCAACCCCACATCGAGGTATGTCATTCCGTTCCATATCTCCATGCCTTGTGCATTCATTGTACTTTAAAAGTACCCAAAACATAAACCATATTAAAAATACTAAATGGATTCCATATATTTCCCCCTTTGTGAAGCCAAATTAAAGATTCTTCAATAAAACAGAAGATTGTCATGCAGACAATTAATATAATTTTAACTTTATTTTAATTGTTTAACTTATACATTTATAATGTAATTCATGTTAACAATTACAGAATTTTCAAAGGCTATAAGCATATTCCAATTAATTCTAATTATATAAGTAATTTTATACACACAGGCTTATAATTACTAGTCTATATACTGATCTGCCCACAAACATAAATTTTTGACACTAATTTATAATTATTTTATTTTATTTTTCCATCACCATTTATCCCCTCTATGCCCTCTTCTACCTCCACCCCCACCATCACCACCATTCTTGACTATTTACATTAGTACATTTATCAAAATATAGAATCAATTACTAATGATATTTTCTTGAAATTTTAAAAGTATTTATGAAGTATAGTCTACTGAAAAGACTTTGAAAGCATTTTCCTTAAAAATATAAACAAAAATTGTAATTGATTTAATGAAATTTTGTTCCTGAAGAAATGTCAACAGATGTTATTAGCTCATTATGTTTCTCCTCTTCAAATATTTTTTGTTCCCAAGTAGTTTCTTAGTTATTTATTCATATGATGCTTACAGAATGTGTGTGTGTGTTTTCCCAAATTTTGGGTAATTTTACTTATGGACAAGTTTTTCTCCCCCTAGTAGACTAAGAATTCCTGAGAGCAAAACATTATTATGCCCTACCTAAAATGTTTGTTGAAATGAATTATCCATCTTTGAATTCTCCCACATTAATTAACCTATTTTCTTATCATAAAATATGCTGCTGATTAGCTTTAACATGTAAACTCAAACTAAATTTTCCCTTTGCATCCCTAATGCTTTAGGTGTTTAAGAAACAAACAAAAAATTTAAAGGATATACAATGTTTCCAAGTGTTGAAGCTGACCTTCAGCATACTTTGGAGAAAATGCTATCTGATAAGCAAAATATCAATCTTAACTGATAATTTTATAGTAATAAAAACTAAGATATTTTTAGGTTTATTAATAGACTAAGCAAAAAACAAAAACAAAAACTCATAGATACAGACAACATTACCAGAGGGAAAGGGGCTTGGGGAGAGGTAGAAGAGGTTAAAGGAGAAATAAATGGTGATGGAAGGAGACTTGACTTTGGATGGTGAACACACAATACAATAAACAGATGATGTATTATAAAATCATACACTTGAAACCTATATAATTGTGTTAACCAATGTCACCCCAATAAACTAATAAAAAATTTAAAAGTAAAGAAAAAAATTTTAAATAATAAACTGGGCCTTACAAAAAAAAAAGTCATCCCAGCTGTCTGAGAATATTGAGAAACAGAATCATTCATTCTGGTGGGACTTCTGATTTATTTTATAGACTTGGTGAAGAATTCAATCATATTTCTCTATATTTTTCTAAAATCAGAAAAAGTGCCCCAAAGATATGATATAATTATTTTCTAAAATCCAAAAGTGCCCCAAAGATATGATATAATTGATGCAAATAATTATACCGGAAGGAATTAAATATAGTGCTGAAATCTTGGGAAAGATCCAACCTTGAATCAATGTTTTCCAAAGTTCCTAGTTAAAGCTGTCCTAGACAATCTGGACTTGGAGTACATTGTTTTGTACTGGGAGGGCTTTTTTCCATCTCACTTGCTACGTCAAGTGTCTCAGAGCCCTCAGAAATAAAATCAGAGAGTAAGGCAACAGAATATGTTTTCACGTATGGCATACAGGTTCCCACTGTTCTCCAGTCCCACTGTAAAATTATCATATCCAAAGATCATAGACATGAATAGCAAAAAATATATATTTTGATGAGAGTGATTAAGCAAATATCGAGAAGGAAATTTTGTCAAAAATTTCTGGGACAATACATTAGTAATCATCATGTCACTTCTACACACATTAATAAAACCAAAACTTGTTCAGATAACTAAACATTTCATACACTATTTTCTTGTAATATCTCTATTTCCTTGATATTACAATAAATAGCTCTTTCTATATGCCACAAAGTAGCAGTGAAAGTAGAATGGATAAAACTCCAACATTTGCTATATCTATTTCTGTAACACATCTCCCACATTATATATACACGTTAAAGCCTCAAGACTGTGGTTAATTTTAAATCTAGTCAAGATGGCAGTCCACCCACGTTTCTAGGCTTAAAATATAACATCTTTCATAACTACTTCACACCATATAAAATCCATATATGCTTTCAATCATGCTAATGATATTTTTCCAACCACCTCCTGCTTATATCAGCCTCCAACGTTTGCTTGGTATTTATGCACTGATGTTATCCACCGGAATTAGATTTCCTTCTTAAAAAACTGAGAAATCTGTCACAGACTATAGACTAAACAAAATAGAATTTCCTACAGCCTCCTTTAAAGACTAAATTTGTTTTGTTCAGATTAAAATTACAACTAAGGAACATTCAGATTTACTTCTTTTTGCAGACACTCTGAGGCCTTAAGCAAACAAGTTTAAGATGAGAATCAATTTTACCTCATTCAGATTTACTTCTTTTTGCAGACACTCTTAAGCAAACAAGTTTAAGATGAGAATCAATTTTACCTAGTAGATGTTAGACACTGAATCTATTGGTCATAAAAATGCCTTCGT